GTGAGGAGGGACGTGTGCGAGAGTGGTTGGCATTGCGTGAAATTAGTTCAGAACGTGATTGGGGGAAATAATGTGGATACCCGTTAAATGAGAGGCCTAACTCTGAGATTTCTAAAAGCAATTCGCAGCCCGCCTTCCTCTTTCCCATAGCCCGAGGGCTTGAGGACTACAATTCCCAGGATGCCCCGCTCCTTCAGCCCGGCCAATGGGTGAGCCCGGTCGAATTGAAACACACGCTGATTGCGCGGAGGCTTATTGAACTCTTTGGCGCCTTGGTTTCATTGGTGAATATGTGATGGATGGGTGAAATGACCAGTGAAAAAGTGGGAAGGCGGATCCAGAGGAGGTGGGCGGGCAGAAGTGCTGACTAGCAGGCGGTTCGCCCAATGAAAGTCGTGAAGGGGGCCGGGCGAGTCAACAAGGGGCGGGCGACTTTGGCAGCCGGATGTGTGCCATGGAGGAGCCGGTGAGGAAACGAGGCCGGAGGACCCGAAGCGGCCGGGGCCGGCGTTCTCGCGCTCAGCGGTCTCCAGCTCGGCGCTCCCTGGACTCGGTACTTGTGGACTTGGTCAGCGACAGTGATGAGGATATCCTGGAGGTCCCAACGGCGTGCGGTGCTGCGGACCCGGCTGAGGTTCCGCTCCCGGTGGAGGTCCGGCTCCCGGAGCAGGTGCCGCTTCCGGAGCACGCCGTGCCGGCCGCGCCCCGGGACAACAGCGACAGTAACAGCGAAGGGGAAGATGCACGGCCTGCTGGAGCCCCTCCGGTTCTCGTCAGGCAGCGGCGACGGCGGCTGCTGCTGGATCCGGGAGAGGCCCCGGTGGTTCCGGTGTACTCCGGCAAGGTGTCGCCAGGTTCCCGGGAGGGCTATCGCGGAAAGGCTGGGTTTGGGGAGTGCTGAGGGTAGGGTCCTGGGGTCGGTCTTGGGTGACTAAACGGTAGTAGGGGCTGGGACCTTGGAGGCAGAGAGATGCCGGGTTCCCGGGGTTTCTGCAGACTGGGAAGGTGANAAAAATCCCAGATCTAGCTTAGCATTTGCACCCTCAACTTACCCTTCAGCTAAAATAAGCTCTCCATTTTGCCACAACCCCCACCCTTCCCTATCACCTTTCATCCAGTCTAATGCATTCAGTTAGGTTTCCTGACTGTGCCTGAAGCATTTGAGCATGTGACTCCTGGTGAAAATATCCTGCCTTCTGGAGGGTGAATCAATGGCTGGGTCTTCTTAGTGTCCCTGGTACCCAGCCAGAGGATGGCAGAGCTCAGGAGCTCAGGAAATGAGTGGGGAAGGAGGCGTGAACAAAGGTGTGTGGAAAGTCCTGAGATTCAGGGTGCAGAGGATGGAGGCACTGGTGAGGGCTCTGCCACCCAGGGAAGTCTTGGGGGAAACTGAGGAGCAGAGGTGTGCCCACTGCAGCCCACTGGGATCACACTATCTGGGTGTGAATCCCCTTTCTAGCGGTGTGGTTCACACTGTTTGTGCTGTAGTTTCCTGGTCTGTAAAATAGGGATACTAATGATTACCTTAATGAGTCTTCAATGAGATAGAAAGCACGTGACAGTTGGCATAGTAAGCACTCAAGCATTAACCATTATAATTGGCATTTATTAAGGGCCTACTGTATGCCAGGAGCCAGAGGGCCCTAAGACCATTTGGGGTTTCTCGACTTCCCACACCATGACCTGGTTTTTTGACGGGGGCTGGACCTCTTGTAGCTCTTGAGCAAGGTTTAGGAAGAAGGAGACTTGGGGGACTTTTCAGGCCCTCGGACCTCACCCTGCTTCTCTAGTTTGCTGTGGCCTCCCAGCTGGGGCTCAAGGCTGGCAAGAGCTTTTGGTGCAATCTCTATGCATCCAGCCTGGCTACAAAGAATGGCTAAAGGTTTCCTGGGGCTGGGTGGTCCTTGGCGCTCGCTCCCTCTGCCGGAGCCTAAGAAACTTTGTTCCCTGGGGAAAAGCCCCACCTGCTGCGGGGGCGGGAGCGGGGGGCCTTCAGTCTTGGTCTGGGCAAGTCTACATGGAGGATTTGAAGTGTGGGCTCATGGAGTTGGGGTACATGTGTCAGAGCTATCAGTGTGGCAAAGAAGGGGGATGGGATGAAATGGGGTGGTCTAGACGCTATACTGGATGGATGTGTGAAGTACAAGTTATGTGAACATTCTGTGTGCGCGCGAGGCAGTTGGTATTGAATGTATGCTATGTGGGTGTTGTTTGTGAAGTGGGGTGTGAGGTGTCAGGGTCATGCAGTTGGAGGTGACAGGGATGTGAAGGGTTGAAGGGGTGTGTCTGTGCTGTGTTTGTGTGCTTGTTGTGCAGGAGTTGTGAATAAGGTGTGTGGAACATATGTAGCCTCTGAGGTGTGTCTTGACAAAAAACATCCTGCCTAAGAGAAAACTTGGAAGAGTTTATTTGAGCCAACTGACGACAATTGCTGGGAAGCAAAATCTCAACAGATTGAGAAAATGCTCTGAAGAATGGCAGTTTTACAGTTTATTTTATACATAAAATCAAAGGAGGAAGGTTACATGAAATCCTTTGGTGATAGATTAAGGGAGTGGGAGAAAGCAAACGGGGGAAATCTCTGGGATTGGATAAAAGTAAATTGGAGACAGATACTTCTTTTACATAGGTGGATGCAGTACAGCTAACAGCTTTTTACAGCACATAAGAGATGGTAATCAAGAGTCAAGCATAATAATGAGGAATTTTGCATTTTTCAGCTCTGGTTGGCTGGAGGGGGGGCGGGGAGGATTAAAGATGTTATTTTAGGTACAGAAGGACAACAGGCCCAATGAAAATGCATAGATTAACTTAATGAGGAAGCTGAAGATATGACTTTCCACCATGGCCCACTTAGTTAAAAATTTTTGTGTGTGTGTGTTCACGCCATCTTACTTTCAGTCTCCTAAACTTGTCAGTTTAACCTGTGGCCCCTTTTCTGTCCACATGTGCGATGTTGTGCGTGGGTGTTGGGGAACTACAATGAGAAAAAGTTTTCTCCCAACCCATGGAGGTAGTAGAAACAGAAAACATTTTTTTTGTTTGTTTTATTGGGGAATTGGGGGAGGGGTACAGCACTGGGGAGTCGGGGAAGGGGAACAGACAAGTTGTTGTCCTTTTATTCTTTAGTCTAGTTGTGGACTTTGCTTCACTGGCCCATGTTGGTATTATCATTGCGCTCTTCCTGGGCGAGGCAGTCGCTTGCCAGGCATTGGACGGCTGCTCTCGGGGGCTCACGAAAGCTCACGAAAGTTCACGCCAGCTGTCGGCCAGCCTCATTGCAGCCTATGCAGTTGTCAGCGACTCAAGGCAGCCCAGCTCCAGGTTGAGCTGTTGTTCAGCATCTTAGCTGTAGAGGGCGCAGCGTCACTGGCCCTCATATGTGGGATTGGAACCTGGACCCTGCTGCTCAGAGCTGGTGTCCCAAGCCAACTCCTAACCAACGCGCCACTCAGCTGGCCCAAAAACATTTTTTTTTAATTAAATAAGCATTAAACCAGCATGTGATGCACATCACAGGCAATCCACTAAGAGATTGTAAAGGCAGAAAGAACTCACCCTTTCACATAGCCAAGCAGGTACAACCCATTATCCTGTTTTGAAGAAAAATTTNAACCAACTGAGCCGCTCGACCGGCCCTAGCAGTGTGTTCTTTGAGTCTTATCAGGGCTGCCCAGCCTTTGTCCTCCCTCAGTGATGGGATTCTTGCAGCACATCCGAGGGCAGTGACTAGGAGTCAAGTCTAACAAGGAGGTGATTCAGTGGACAGACACAGACCTTGGATCAATACTTATGTACCTTGAAGGGAGTCTGACAGGGTGAGAATCGGCTGGCCTGGGTTTGAATCCCAGCTCTACTCCATAGCAGCTGTGTGACCTTGTTCATCTCTTAATGCTTCAAGTTTCTCAGTGGATCTATGTCACAGGATTTTAGTGAGAATTAATGAAAGAGAATATAGAGAGAGCCCTTCCTTGGGCTACATGTATCATCTAGGATAGTACCTGGCTCATAGAAGTGCCATATAAAGTGTACCTCTGTCCTTGCCACTCAAAATGTGGGCCCAGTAGCATTGGGCATTCCCTGGAAGCTTCTCAGAAATGCAGTCTCCAGCAGCTGCCATGTTTAGGTAGGACCAGGTTTCTCAGCCGTAGCACTTCTGACATTTGCACTGGACCGTCCTTGTTGTGGGGCCGTTCTGTGCACTGTAGGATATTTAGCAGCATCCTAATCTCTACCCATGAGATGCCAGCATCACCCCTATTGTGACATCCAGAATATTCTCCAGGTATTGCCACATGTCTCCTGGGAGGCAAAATTGCCTCCGATGGAGAACCATTGATCTAGGATTTTGTATCGTTGTTTTGTTTTCACAGTATTTATTTTTATGATGAATGATGATCTTTTGTTGGTGGCAAGCAGTAGAAAAGAGCTTCTATATTCTAGAATAATAGCTGGTTTCTGATCATTTTACAATGTATACAAATATCGAATCATTTATGTTGCACACCTGAAACCAATATAATGTTATATGTCAATTATACCTCAATAAAAGAGGAAAAAAAGACCTAGTTTCTTTTTTTTTAAAAGATTTTATTGGGGAATTGGCGAAGGGGAACAGCGTTGGGGAACTGGGGAAGGGGAACAGACAAGTTGCTGTCCTTTTGTTCTTCAGTCTAGTTGTGGAGGATGTCAGTTCACTGGCCCATGTTGGTATTATCATTGTGCTCTTCCCGGGCGAGGCAGATCGGTCGCCGGCCACTGGACGGCCGCTCATGGCGGCTTACGACAGCTCACGCAGGCTGCTGGCCACTCACGGTAGCTTAAAGGAGCCCACTGCCACTCCACTGCAGCCTACGCCGTCACCAGCGACTCGTGGCAGCCCAACTCCAGGTCGAGCTGTTGTTCACCATCTTAGCTGTAGAGGGCGCAGCGTCACTGACCCTCCTGTGGGATCTGAACCAGGGCCCTGCTGCTCAGAGCTGGCATCCCAAGCCAATTCTTAACCGGTGCGCCACTTGGCTGGCCCCCTAGTTTCTTTTTATGAGGAATTTAAGTTAAAATAAGGGATTTGAAGAAAGATACTAAATAAATAATGCAGAGATACAGCAAACTGTGATAATGACACTCATATGGATGGAATTTGAGAAATATGGGCTTAGCTGGTCTGTACTACTTATCTCTGTACCTCATTCTCTCTACCCCCATAGTCTGTGCCCCCCAAATTGAGTACAGGTAGAAATAAGAGAAATGTATGTTTCATAATGTGAAAAATAGTATGTACATGTATAGTAATGCGTAATACCACTAATAGGATTACAATTGTAGTATAATAGTATTAAGTAAATATATATTTTCTGGGTGGTGTGCCTGGTATTTTTTATTTGTGTGGTGCATGTCATCAAAAAAGTGAGAACATAGGGCTGGCCGAGTGGCTCAGTTGGTTAAGAGTTAGCTCAAGAGTTTGAGCTCTGAGCAACACGGTTGCCGGTTCGATTCACGGCCTGAGCTGAGCTGCTGCTGACCTGCCAACAGGTGGCAGGATGGCTCAGNGGCTGGGGTCCCAGGTGGCAGGGTGAAGCTAGGGGTCTGGGATTCCCTAGGATTCTAAGAGAGCGGGTTGGCTAGAAACCTAGTGAAAAAGGAGAGCTAAGCCTGTTATCCTCAGTGTCTTAGGAAAGGGGGCGTAGGAGGACGGGTACTTCGATTTTGGATCCCGAGGAAGCTGGGCTCCTGAGTCCTGGGAGAAGGCTGTGGTGTCCCCATCCTTAGGGAGAACTTGGGAGCTGGGGCAGGTCTGGGGGTGAGAGAAGAGTCAGTCATCCTGTTTTCCCTCTCAGTGGAGGCAGGACCTTGGGGCTGAACCCACTTTTGTCTTTGCAGGTGAAGAGCAGCCTCCACCTCATCCCAGATCACGTGTCCCTCCTGCAACTGTGTCCCCTAGAGGCTGAGGAAGGTAAGGGAGGGCGTCCAGGGAGACAGTTTACATCCCTGGTAGTTAGTGGTTGGTTGCTTGAGGCTCTGCGAAAGGCATGACAGGTTAGGACTCCTGCATCCTAGCCAAAAAAACACACACGCCCCAGTCCTGAAATGAGCTGGATATATATATTTTTTAATTTTTCAGTTACAGTTGACATATAATGTATTAGCATCAGGTGCACAGCATAGTGATTAGACATTTATGTAACTTACGAAGTGATCACCCCGAGAAGTCTAGTACCTATCTGACACCTACGTAGTTATTACCATATTATTAACTATAATCCTTATGCTGTACTTTATAGCCCTGTGACTATTTTGTAGTTATCAATTTGTACTTCTTAATCCCTTTACCTTTTTCACCCATCTCCTAAACCCCCCACCCATCTGGCAACCATCAAAATGTTCTCTGTATCTATGAGTCTGTTTTTGTTTTGTTTACTCATTTATTTTGTTCTTCAGATTCCATATAAAAGTCATATTGCGGGCCGGCCGAGTGGCTCAGTTGGTTAAGAGCTTGCTCAAGAGTTTGAGCTCTGAGCAACAACGGTTTGATTCCCAGCCCGAGCTGAGCAGCTGCTGAGCTGCCAACAGGTGGCAGGAGGGCTCAGCTTAAAAAAAAAAAATCATATTGCATTTGTCTTTCTTTGTTTGACTTACTACACTCAGCACAGTACCCTTTAGGCCCATCCATGTTGTTGCAGATGGCAAGATTTCATTCTATTTTATCGCTGAGTAATATTCCACTGTATATGTGTACCACCTCTTCTTTATCTATTCCTCCTTTG